AGAGAGAGAGAGAAGGAGAGGGGGAGGAGGAGGAGGGAGGACTCTCCCTTTGTGCCAAAAATCCTTTCAAAATGCCCATTCCAGTGTTTCACCCAAGCTTAGTAAACCCTGACGAAAAAATGGAATACCAGAGGAAGTGATATTAGCATGCTTGGAGGAACCTCAGAATTGATAGAAGTCCAATAGAATCTTTAAAAATCTGTACAGGTAAAGGGAAAAAATAAAAAACCCTGGTGGGTGGTATTAAATATGCTTAGTAGTTTAGACATTAGATATCAGTTACAAATGAAATACAGACTTAATTCTGGTAGATATTCTGTTGCATTTCTAATTGTTATGTTATGTCAGTTAGGAAGCCTTCCAAAATTCAAACTCTACATTACATGGTAATAAAATAAGTAAAAAGTATGACTAACAAGAACAGTAATGAAGAGGAATGCCTCTGGATTGGGGAACACTTATTGGAGAATAACTGTGTACCCCCTTTTTCAGATGTCCCTGCAGCCAACTCCCACAGCCAATCTCGATCGAACAGATGATCCTGTGTACAGTGATGTAATGGGACTGGTGAAGGCAGTCCTGCGGTTGAAGAATGAAGTCAGCAACCATCCCCCTGAGCGATATATTCTGGTTGTTAAGGTATGACGTGTGACATTTATTTGACCCAATCCTGAACAAGTTCTCAGAATGGTATATGGAAAGAAAGAAAGCTGTCCGAAGTATAGGACAGACATAAGACTGTGATCAAGTAGAAACCAATCTAAGCCCATAAAATAAGAGAGTTCAGAATGGACAGGAAGGAACAAACAAAGGATCCAGTTGTTGGGACTAAGTTGTAGGCAGCTGGCACAGTAGTGTGCTAGGATTTAGAAAGTCAGTCTTGGGCTTATTATTGGGGTATCATGTTTTTTTAGAAATGCAGTATCATTGTATTAGTATTCCTTTAAGAAGTACCAGTTAGAGTCAGCTGAAGAAAGAATCATTAAGGCAACAGGGAGCATAAGAGATGCCTATCAGAAGCTCAGAAAAACCACCAAGGCAAGCTGGACATATGTCTTGGCAGTGGAGTGTCAAAATTTATTCAGGTCTCATAGCTGCAAATAACAAAAAAAAAATCTAGAGCCCAAATCAAAAAGCAAAGCTGTGGTCATAGAAAATAGATGGCATCCTAAAGAATATTTGTTTTCCAGTCTTCCACAGAATTCATAAAGTTCTCATAGGATTCTGCAAAAAACTCCACTCTAGACAATTCTTTTCTAGAATGCATCTTCCATTCATGCAGGTTCCCTATATAGTTAGAACCTTTATGTGACAAACCAAAATAGCTAGAAGAATTTTCACATTACATTCTGACTTCTTCCTTTTGTAGGATGTGGGTCTTTCTCTTCGAAAACTCATTGGGAGTGTGGATGACATCCTTCCGGCTCTACCTGCATCTTCACGCACTGAGGTGAATCTTGCTCAACAATAAAACTTTCTGATTCCTAAGTGAGACCTTCCCTCTTAACAATCAAGAAGGAACAGAAATGGACCTGCCAACCTGGGCTAATTTATGGCAAGAGATTGTGGCCAGTTATAAGAATAATTTATTTGAAATCTTATATCTACTAATGCAAGAACTGAGCAGAGATCAAAGGCAGTGGCAAAGAGTTTCCTTGGCCTGCAGAACAGAGGTGGTATTCAGCAGGTTCTGACCAGTTCTGGAGAACCAGTAGCAGAAATTTTGAGTAGTTCGCAGACCCGGCAAATACCACTTCTGACTGGAGATTTTACAGTATCCTTCCCCTGCCACGCCCACCAAGCCACGCCCACAGAACCGGTAATATAAAAAATGAATCCCACCACTGCTGCAGAAGGTCCAAGATTCAATATTTGGTATCACCTCTTCAAAGAAATGTGAAAACCTTTTATCCAAGATTTGGAAAGGACTTATTCTGAGAGTCAGTAATACCACCAGAAGATACTTTTGTGAAATTTCTGCTTATCAGCATAGACAATACTTAATTTGCCAGTTTTGCAACAGTTGTTTTGTCTCAGCATAAAGAAGCTTTTTATATGCTGATAGTATTTCATAGTTGAGGTTCTGTTTGTTAATCGATTTTGAAATGTATCATGAAATATCCTTTTGTGTTATGAATGCATTAATTCTTTTTACTAAAAGCCAAAGCAAATAAATATGGAATCAGGTGTTTTTCTCCAAAAGAGTTTACTGGGATTGTCTTAAAACACTCTGTTAAGATTGACCTTGAAATAATGCTGGATTTAATGGCCACCTATTCCTGTGTGTTTCTCATTGGCAGATTGAGGGTACCCAGAAGCTCCTAAATAAGGACCTTGCGGAACTGATCAACAAGATGCGTCTGGCTCAGCAGAATTCTATGACCTCATTGAGTGAGGAATGCAAGCGCCAGATGTTGACGGCTTCACATACTCTGGCTGTGGATGCAAAGAATCTCCTGGATGCTGTGGACCAAGCCAAGATGCGAGCCAACCTTGTGAAGGTCTCTTTTGAGTGATTGAGAGGGCTGACTTATGGATTTTTTAAAAAATGTCCCTCCACAACTTTCACATCCTCTCCCCCATCCTGCCTCACCAAAAACTGCTTGTGTCTTTGATTTTGTCACGTCTGTCTTCTGAGAGCGACGGAGAAGCCATGCTCAGGGCAAGGAAGAAACCTTCCCCCCTCCGCAGTGTTCTATGGACCATGCTGCTAAGGGGCACTGTGTGCACGATAGGATCCCAGTCCCAAGGTGAGGATTCTTTCCACCAAACTTTGAACTCTGAATCTGCACCAGTAGTCCCATCACAGAAAGTGACTTCTGAATATATTCGGCTTCCTTTGACAGTACCTCTGGCATCAAGTCTGTCTCATTGGTGAGAAAAGAGTCAAAGGCAGGGTGGGGTGGCTTGTGAGCCTCTACACTGTTCTCAGGATAAGCCCAAAAAAAATGACACGAGAGATTTCTCCTTGGTTGATCCAAGGATTCTAAAAGGCCTAGTGAGGGAGAATATGTTTTCTAGGTCTTGCTACATTTATTTTGACTGAAGATGTCCCCATGGAGATGCTGGTTCCTCAGAAGAGACTGTGCATCTTTCTGTGTTGTATAGAAACATATATTTAATGGCCATATCTGAATGTGTGCACCCTCCCTAAATCTTCTTCCCTTAATAGCCTCATTTATTGAATTTTTCAACCAGTTTAAACAATAGATCTCTCTCTGTCAATTATACAGATTCAAATAAATGTACAAAGCCATAAGAAGTATGGAAGGGCATCAGGGTTTAAGAAGCTGAAGGTGTTTCAGCCATTATAAGCTGGTTAACTTGAAAAGTTACTTGTAGCTGCCACATCTTTCTGGGTTTTTAGGTATAAAGTTGCAATTTTAGATGTAAATGACATTAGTACAGCTGGGGGTGGGGTGTAACATATCTTCCCTCCCCTTATGAATATAGATCAAACACAGATCTGATCCCATATTTGCTACTGCATTATAATTTGAAATTAAAGTTTCCTGATAAGGATTGGTATTGTGCCTCATAAATATGGGGCTTACATTTTGCTACTGAAATTGATGTTTTTGTTGAAAACAAGCACAGTATGAAAGGTTAGAAGCCATTAATATGTAATTCTGTTGTCTTGAATGCAGGTATCTCATTCCCGAGGGAGGGGGAGGGGGAGGGGGAGGGAGGGAGCTGGAAAAGGTGCCTAAGAAATTGACAAGGTACTGTATTTATACTTCTTGACCTAAGTGAGGTCACCAGTTTATCCATACTTCTTCATATTATCTTTATGTGTTAAAAAAAAGTTTAGAAAACTTTGTTTGCTATGTGGGTTTTGACCAGAAAATTAAAGCAATGTTGTTTATTTTGCCTGACATAAATTAAATATAAAACTCCAGTGGCTGATCTTCCATTTCTTCATTATGAATAACACTTTTTTCTTATCTAAAGACCTGGTGTGGTGCTATAATGCAAGGTCATGCTTTACTATCTGCACATAGAACAGGGGTGTCAAACCCACATCGTCATGGTGTCATCACGTGATGTATCGTAACTTTTCCCCACTTCGCTAAAACGGGTGGGTGTGGCCTCAAGTTTGACACCCCTACCATAGTTGATGTAATCATTCTGTTAGGCTGCTGCACAAAGGATTTGATAGCTACTACATGCAATAGTAAAATAGCTATGATTACAGTCATGGAGTGGCCACTCCACACAGATTTTCTTTGGGCTTCAGCTTATTACAACTTCCACTCTATTGATGGAGCCAAGCTACTTCTGTTTCAAACATATCATATGTAGACTGCTCTTGATACTTTGGTATGTTCACTAGATTCACAGAGAATTACAGTATATGCAAGTTTTCAGTTGTTCATTTAGGCAGCATTAATAGTCTCAAGATGTCTCAAACTCAAATTGTCTCAAACTTTTCTGAAGCCCATGCATTGTATTCCAGCCAAAATGCAAGGATGTGTGTGCGTTATTTCTGACAATGCAAAAAAATCTCAAAGCAGATACCAAAACTGCACAAAAATACAAATGATGATAATTAAGGGTCAATTACATTTTCACATAAACAAAAATGTAAAGGCAAGGGAAACACAATTAAAACAAGGTTGGTTAGGTTGGATGTTTTTAAAAATGTTGTATATTCACTTGCTGTTGGAAACCCCTTGGCAAATTATTGATTCTTACAATTACTCTGCATGATGGGTAGTTTGTGGGCATTTTTCCAATGCTTGAAGGTGTTTTAAAAAGTGAAATCAATGACTTAATCACCCCTTCAAAAGAAAACAAAACCAAAAAAAGTGAGCATTTTTCCATGTTTGCCAGGGTGGAAAGTATTAAAGGAATAACATTTATAGTTCCTTTATACCTCATAAAACAAGCAAAACACTTGGCTGTGTTGATTTTAATGACAACATGCCGTCGCTGTTTACCTATATCCACTGCCCCAAATCTTTTAAAGTGGCTTCAAAATCATTGCCTGCCCCTGCATTATGGCTTAGTCTTACATATGAACCAGGCCAGTGATGGGATTCAAATTTTTTTACTACCGGTTCTGTGGCTGTGGCTTGATGGGCATGGTGTGGCTTGGTGGGCGTGGCTTGGTGGGCCATGCCCACCCCACTAACCTGCTTTCCAGCTCCTTCTCTCCTGTGCAGAGCAACAAAAGAAGACCCAGCCAATCAGCTGGGACTCAGGAGGCAGGGAATAGATGGGGGTGGGGCCAGTCAGAGGTGGTATTTGCTAGTTCTCCGAACTACTCAAAATTTCTGCTACCGGTTCTCCAGAACTGGTCAGAACCTGCTGAATACCACCTCTGAACCAGGCCCAAAAAGTGACAAAATTGGCTGTATGGATCCCCCTGAGCTTTCATCTCACCAAGGAAGATGGATTGTGCCACCAAGTATACAATTCAAGTGAAAACGTTGATACAGAGGCAAGATTACTCATCCGATTTGGAGAGTGGGACAGGGTTCTCAATCAACAATACCAATTCTACTTTCTGAAGTTTTGTAAAAAAGGAGCATTTTCAAAATCAGATTGCAAAGATGTTATCCTAGCCCCATTACTGCAGTGTGATGAGCCAGTAAAATGATTTGCAAATTTTCTATGATCAGTGGTTGGCTCAAGACCATCATAGGTGGCACACATTCTGCTTGTCTTTGTCCTCTGTGAATCCATCCCTAACCTAACCCTAACCCTGTGAATCCATCCACTTAGCCTGACAAAGAGGAGCTGAGGCTGCTGATAGCAAGACTCCTAGTAAGCCATCAAGGATGACAGTTTGTCAGGAGAAGGAGCCACAGCAAAGGGAAAATCAATTGCTCCATCCATCTATCCTGTGATAGTTGCAAACATTTTTTGCCTGCAGTTCAAAGTAGAATTTCTAAGAAGTCTCTGTGCTATTCAAGAGTTACTCCATTTTCTATAACTACCAACTGTGTGCATTACTCATGCTCATAGGTTTTTTTGAAGGACAATATGATGTTCTGAAAACCAACTTTTCCAACTTTGTTCTTGTCTCCTCAAATTTACAGAGATGAATAGCTAGAGAAAGCCTATAGGCAAATTAAACAGGGACATCTTTGTCTCTTAACATCCTAGGCTAGGGCTGTCAAACCTGCAGCCCACAGGCCAAATGCATCATGCGCTGGCCATGCCCACGCCTGGTTTAGCGAAGGGAGAAAAAAATCGCAATAGGTCAAGTAACACCGCTGTGATGACATGAGTTTGACACCCCTGTCCTAGGGGTGGTTGGTGTGATTTAAACAAGTGACTATACACACCTGAAACCTCTGTGTTTCATCAACAAAACGATTGGCCACATCCAACAGGACTCCTATCTGAAAATCTGCAGCAATGAATGGATCAGTTAATTTTCATGCATGAAGGCAGCAAATAACCAAGGAATGCATTGGACATACTAAAGATCAAGCTTGGGATTTTTTTTAAAAAAATAGCATTCATACCGTCTCCAATGTGGTGCCCTCCAAATGTACCAACTTACAACTCCCATCATCCCCAACCAGCACAACCTTTGATCAGAGTTGCAATCTAACATATCTAACAAAAATCACATTGGAAGAAGTTGCTGTGCCCTAATCGAGGAACAGAAGCCAAGATGCAATACGTTGGAAACATGTTTTTACTTTCATTAACAGTAGTTCTCAGAGGGTATGGATGACTAGCTACTATCTTAATAACATTTCTACTTTAAGTCCCTTAATAGAAAATTTATTATCCACCTGACTGCTTGCCAGAGCAGGAAGATGAGGTATAAACCAAATGATTGCATAATAAATATTTTCCATGCATTTCCAGAAATTCTCTTAATTTATAAATCGTCAACACAGAAACTCCCCAGCACATTTTTCTAATACAAAGAATTAAATGCTGCTTCAACAGCAAGTAACAAAGAGACTTCGTTAAATCAAAGCACTTTTCCAATTTGGAAATTATTCCAGTTCTCGTCGTGACATTTTCCCACTGCAACCAGTTTTTTAACTTTACCCTTGGCTTTTCTGGAATAACAGCAGGCAAGCTTAATGAGCCACAGCATCAAGAAGTTCTGGCCACTGCACTATATGTGGCTCACAAGCCTCCTTTGGGCCCCACCCAGCTGCCCCAGGTCATACTGCTGAATAATGGTGGCATGATTTTCTCTTGAATTTTGGCAAAACAAAAATATGTAAAAGAGGTACGCAAAAACTCAAGTTTTAGTTTGCATTATTGTTCTTTGTTTAAGTTTGCATTATTGTTCTTTCAGTTTGCATTATTGTTCTTTGTTTAAGTTTGCATTATTGTTCGTTGTTTAAGTTTGCATTATTGTTCTTTGTTTAAGTTTGCATTATAGTTCTTTGTTTAAGTTTTGGGGGTTTTATATGACGTTAATAATTCCTGGGCAACAGATACTGGATCAAGAGGATGATCCTGCTGTTGGCTTCTTTAGGAAGTTGAATTAAAGTTTGGGTGGCATTTTTGTGGAGACTTTCTGTGTGGTTGATATATTTTAAGGTAGCTTCTTCATCCTGCATATCAATGCTACATCATGCCTGCCAGAAATGGAGGAAGGAAAAGTCCAATTGTCCCCAGCAAACAGACAAAAATAAACATCCAGAGGAAGATGCGGTCAATCACCATGGCAACATATTTCCAATCTTCTTTGACCTGAAACAAATGAAAAATCATGACCAGGGTGATCAATCATCAAGTTAACTGATATTCACCATGATTGGGATGGGAAAACTTAAAAACATATCGCAAATGCTTCAGTAACTTAGTCCCAGCTGCAGTAGGTTAGCACTAGCACTAGCACTAGCACTTAGACTTATATACCACTTTACAGAGTTTACAGAGTCAGCATATTGCCCACAACAATCAGGATCCTCATTTTACTGACCTCAGAAGAATGGAAGGATGACTCAACCTTGAGGCTGGTGAGATTTGAACTGCCAAATTGCAGGCAACCAGCAGTCAGTAGAAGTAGCCTGCAGTACTGCCCTCTAACCACTGCACCACCATGGCTCAGGTTAAGTGAGCAAGTAGGCATAGTAAGTATCAATGTGCCATACCATAGAATAATTATCTATCAGAGTTAAAAGAGATAGAAAGCAAAACTAACAGGGTTGGGCTGAAAAAAAATCCAGGTGAGCACTAAATAGCAGCAAAGAGGATACTTTATGGCAGAGGTCTCCAAATTTGGCAACTTTAAGAC